CACCCCTGAAAAACAACAAAATGGAGTTGAGAGGAAGGATGTAGGGGCCCACACACACACCTTTAAAAAAAAATAAAAAATAAAAAAAATAATAATAATAAATTGAGCGCATCACCAATTTGCGCATGGCGCATGGCGCATGCGCACCGCACGGCGCAGCGCAGAAGTGCGCCGCAAGTATGAAAAATAGCCTTCGTACACTCAAAAGCAAAAATCAAGAGCAAATTCAATCTTTCCGTAAGGACTGGCTGGGAGGGGAACAAGGGGGTTGGATAGCGAATGTGCAATCGAAAGAGGGGGAGGGAGGGGAGGGAGGGGAGGGAGGGAATAGGGAAAAGTTGGAAAGGGACTAACACCTACATTTTCATGATTGGACTAGAATTAACCCCTCCATCCCGTTGCGGCCTCTCTCAGACTTTCCCGATCTCTTCCCACCACCTGCGAACTCAATGGTCGAGACTCATTGTGGTATGCAGGTGCCTAAAAACGGTCAACTGTGGGTGTAGGATTATTTTTTCAAATTGTCTGATCTCCTGCTCAGTTACTACCCTGGATTCCAAAGTATTCAATGGTAGGGGGGGGGAGGAACTAGTGTGTAGCAGCAGATATCTGGCGCCGGGTTCAGGGTGAAGAGGTTCCCCCCTCTCTCCAATATACTGCTCAGTCAATCCCGTGGATCCCAGGGTAATCAATGCTGTCAGGAACCTCCCACAATCCTGTTTTGATATACTCCAAATTTTATCTGTATATGGGACGCTGGACCCGTTTTCCAGCAGGTGATGCTCCCCACCAATAGATGGAGCCGCTCCCCAGGTGCTAGTGGTGTCTGCTCTTATCGGCACCACTAACACTGGCGGGGGCGTGTTAGAAAAAAAAAAGAAAAAAAAAAGGATTTCAACTCCGATCACGCCCCCAGACCCCCCACCATCCCCGCAGCCACCGCTCCCGAGCAAATTTCCACCACCACCCCCCCCAGCCCCCAGTGACTCCACCCTCCCACCAACTGACCCCGCAAACACTGCCCCCACCGCCGGAAGGTACATGTGGCATACTGCGTAGCCACACGGGCCCTCCAGGGCCCGTCCCGAAGTTTCAGCCTAAAAGCCTAAAACTTAGGGCTTACAGGCCCCGGTCGTTTCAGCCTGAAAGCTGAAAAACGAGGGCCTGCAGGCCCTACTCCGTTTTCAGCCTATTTCTGGGCCTTTCAGGCCTAGAGGCTTTTCAGCCTGAAACGGAGGGCCATTTTCAGGCCCTCATTGTGTTCGACCTACCTAAGACTCAGGCACAGAAACAGGGTTTCGGAACAGGCCAGAAATAGCCTGTTCCCCACGCCAGCTCGAGCAGGAGCTGCAGCTGCAGCCCCTGCATCCCTTCGGCATTGGCAAGAGCAGGTTCCTGGACTGCTCGCACGAGTCAGGAGGCACACCCGGTAGTACATAGGAAGTTCCCATGCACTTCACGGGTAGGTAGTTGTCAGTAGGCACGAGTAGTCTTCAGGATTCGGCCGCAGCACTCAGGAGGAGCGCTGCAGTAGTCTTCAACGCTAGGCAGTAGTCTTCAGCGCTAGTTGTAGTCTTCGGCGCTGGGCGCCCATAGCCATAGAGTAGTCTTCAGCGCTGGGCGCTGGTAGGTGGTAGATCGTGGAGTGGGAGAGATACTGGCGGAGGCCAGTGGTACTTACCTGTGGCGCCATCGCTCCAGCTCCATCTGCGAGGTACCTGCATCAAGGCAACAACTTCACAGGTTAGTACTGGACACAGAGAGAGAGAGAGAGTTCTTCTTCTTCCTCTTCTAAGTCCACCATCTCTTCTCACCCTCTCGCCACCTGACTTCTCAGACTACGACAGAGAGAGACAGAGTTGTGACTTAAGACTTGACGACATTGGATCCAGACTTGACATTTGGGATTCAGACATTTCGACGAGGGACTATTTGGGCCTGTGTCGAAGACTTGGTGTTGTCGACATTCCCATCTTTCCCCTCCTCTTCGTCTAACCCCTTCTTCTTCGTCTGTGTATGGTAGGGGCTGGCGCAATTTTCCTGTGTGAAGCGCCAGACCCCATTCACACCATGTAATGATGATGATGATGTATGTTCAGGGCTGCATTGCAATATTGATTGTTCGGATCACTGGTATCTAGGTCTTCCGCTGTGTTATCTTGTCCTTTGTATTGAGAGGTCGGTTCTTGTTCTGGTCTGCACGTTACAATATGCAACAGTTTGGTATCGGAGCGGACCTCTCATTCAGAGGACCCGCTCAATCAAGTAGCCAGCTCGCTGATCTATTGATCACTCATTAGTAAAGCAAGTAGGACTTCGTCAAATCTCTGGAAAAAAAAAATTCTCGTAACAACTTTCTGAAAATTTCTGATATTCGCATTTCGTTTTACCTGAAAATTTCTGATATTAGTAGTTCATTTTTACGTAACAAATATCTGAAAATTTTTGATAAAGCGCATTTCGTTTTGTCTGAAAATTCCCGATAGTAGCATTTCGTTTCGCTGATATTTCGCATACATAGCTGAAATTTCTGAAGCTAGTATTTCGTTCTCTAGGCATATTGGGATAATGATAGAAGTGGTCATATTCTCGGAAACTGMAATTATTCTTTTCTGAAAATCGAATTTTCATTCTATCTCGCAAATTTTTTTTGAAAACCGAAATCTTGCGAAGCCTACCAATATTGCGTTAGGCATATTCGGAGGTTGCTATATTCTCAGAAACTGGATTTCGTTCTTTCTGAAAATCGCATCTTTACTCCATTTCGCAAATTTTTTTTTTTCAAGATCGCAGTTTGTAAAAGCCGAAACTTTGCAGAACCTAGCCTAGATCTCGTTCATAGTACTCTTCTGACATGTCCTACTCATAATAGATCGATATATATATATATACGATATATATATATATATAAAAAAAGAAAAAAAAAGGAAGTTTGTCCTCTTTTT